CCGAGGCAGGGGACAGAGCCTCAGCTGGGTCCGAGGGCCCGGCTGCACCCAGCTGCGCCAGCTCACTCTTTACCTCATCCCCGTGAGGTCCAAAACGCCGCCCCACCAGCTGGCGACTGTGCATCCTGCCCCCCCCCCGACAGTCTGGGGCCTGCCCAGACCCGGGCAATGACACCCAGCTCACTGCCGGGAGCCCACAGCCCCTGGTACCACGCCAGTCCCCGACCCTGCGGGAGTCAGGCACAGCCCTGGTCCTGGCTGACTCCGGCAGCCACGACAAGGGCTAGAGGGCCTCTATGAGCTCCTGGGCTCTCAGGAGTCCTGCCAGCCATGGGGGTGTCACAGGACAGCCACCTCCTCGGTGACTGCGACTACTGGGCTTGACAGCGCCAAGCACTCCTCCTCGGGAGCGGCCCACGTCGGGCAGCTACACACCTCTTCTCTCCCGCATGAGCTCATCTAAATCCCCACCACAGCCCTGGGAGGTGGAAACCACAATTAACCCCATTTTCCAGATGAGGGACATTAAGTGACTCACCCTGGGTCACAAGGCTGGAAATGGCAGGGCTAGTATTTGAACCTGGGGAGTCCAGCTCCCGAACCCAAGCTCTGACCTCAGCTGTGCCACCTGGGGAGTTGCGAGCTCTTCTCCCGAGTCTGGGGAGGAGAGAAACTGGAGGAAAAGAGATGCAAAGACTTTTGGGGGCGTTGGGGAGAGGCAGGCCTGGGACTAGGAGGGGTAAGCATCACTGTAGAGGCCAGGGGGAGGTGGGACACCGAGCACAACAGTGGGGCCGAGTCGGAGGGCTAGTTGACGTCTCTGAGGAGGGCCTCAGCCTCACGCTGTCTTCACTTCATCCTGCGTGTTCCACGAGGGCTTGGAGGGGAAAGGATTCTGCTGCCAGATAACTTCAGAACCCGTCTACACAGTATCCTCCTTCCAGAGAGTCCCAACAGACATCAGCGGCAGTAAATAAAGGCCCTACTAAGTCCGCAGAGAAGCCTGTTAGTTTATCCAGCCCAGCACGGCCCACGTGTAACTGGCTACCAACCCTTTCCTTTTCCCTGGGAGACCCAATGCCACGGCACGGAGCACAGCCTGAGGACTGCGGGCAGAGAGCTGGGATCACACGCTTCTCCTGTAAATATTTCTGAAAATCATGAGCACTTTCAGCTGGGAGTGCCAGAGGGGCTCTGCTACGACTGCGTCCCAAGCTGTGGGCACACAAAGGCGGCCAGAACCAAGCACACACACGAGCGTGTCCACGTGCCAACGACAAGCCACTCGTGCCACTGAAATGTGAATTTCACATAGTTTGATGTGTCACAAAACATTATTCTTTTGATTTTTCTCAACCATCTAAAACCGTGAGACCTGTTCCGGCTCACAGGCCACAGAAAGCAGGCTGCAGGTGAGCTCGGGCGGCGGGTACCGCTGCCTACCCTTGATGCAGGGCCAGGGAAGCTCCAGGACTCCCTAGAATGCCCTAATGTCTCAGAGAATGGAAAGGGGACACGAAATAGGGCGGCGGGGATCATCCAGAGAAAGCCGGAACAAGAGCCTGTCCTAGATTCCGTGCCTGTCCACACAACACGGGGCTTTAGCGGAGTTGTTCTGGTTTTCTGAAATTCGGGCAGAGGGGATGTTCTGGATGGCCTGGGGAGGAGGGGTCTCCTTCTTCTGGCCTTCAAAGTATGGCCCTCAGTCCTGCTCCCCACGCTGCCATGGCTCTGAGCTGGGGACGAGAGATGGGGGGCTCGTGTCCCCAAGTCCCACGCTCCCGGCCGAAGCAGTGGCCGAAGGAAGCGGCACTCAGTCAGGACCAGGACAAGGTTACCAAGTGGAGCTGCCTGGCCCTGACAGAGAAATCCAGCAGCCGCAGAGTAGAAAGAAACTAAAACCTGGAAAATGTTAGCTGCTCAAGGTACAAAGAGCCCAAATCCAAAAAGATCAATGACCTGCCGAGGGCCCAAACACACAGTGTGAAAACGCGCTACCCAGCACAGAACAAGGGACAAGCACGGGCGAGCCACAAGATGCCACTGGCCACCTAGTGGGTTAGCAGAGATGGGCAAGTCCGAGACCCTGACCTGGCAAAGAAGGGGACCAGGGGCCTTCACGTCTGGCTGGCCGGAGGGGATGCAAACGGGACAGCCTCTGAAGGGGGCAGGAAGACAGCATCGATCTAAGTTACAAATGGACGAGCTTGCTGGCAGGGATTTCTCCTCCAGCCACATCTACGCAGAAAACTGGAAGAGCACCGAGTTGTCTACTGCAGCCCTGTTCTTAAGAGCAAAAGATAGGAGACCCTAGGTGTCCGCCCTGGGGAACTAGGTATGTCCTTTTGGTGGCAATGACAGTAGCTCTCATTTAGGGCATGGGATCGACAGCCAGGGACTGTTCTAAGCCTTCGCTCTTCCCAGCGTGGCCCAGGGACCACCAACTCTGCGTCGGCCATTTGGAAATGCAGGCTCCCCTCTCCCCCGGAGCTTCAGAACCAGAACCTGCATTTTAGCAAGAGGCCCAGGAGGTTCCTATGCAGGATAAGGCTCTATTTTTAAAATTCTTCCCATATTAGCTCCTTAAGCCTCGTAACAGCTCAGTGGCCCGGGCCCCCTACCACGTGCTGAATAGTCCCCAAGGTGATCTGCCACCTCTGTGGGAGGAAACGATGAAGGAAAGCAGAATCTACATGGAATTGCTTCAAAACTCAGATAAGACACTCAATCAACGGAAACAGCAGTAACCTCTGGGAAGTGGAACTCGGTGCTACGGGAGGAGGTCAGAGGGAAACCATTCACTGTTACACACTTCCCTAGAGCTGACTTGGGGGCATGGGCCTCCATTACCTACTCAAAAAAATTTTTTTTTGAATTTTTTCTTAAAACTTGAAGAAGCTACACACCCAGAAACCACATCTACTAAAGTAGAAACACGCTGTGGGGAAGGCGAGATTGGCACGGTGGGACCCACTCCCCGCTCCCCACTCCTCTTCCGGCTGGCCATTCTCGAAGGAGGCACAGGGTAGTGGGGAGGGAAAGGGGCTGGAGGGTGAACAGCGGATTCTCCAAGAAGCTGGGACTGGCACCACACTCGGACACGCTGGGACTGGGACAAATGCTTGTACCAGGACAGGGGCTCCCCACGGGGACATGTGGCAATGTCGGAGACCTCTGGTGTTACAGCTGGGAGATGCCATTCCAATCAGGCGGGCAAGAGGCCAGCACGCCAGGCGGCCCGGAATGCCCCGTGTCCTGAGGGGCGACATCAGGATGCTAGTTAGAGAGCAGGTTCTGATGTGGCAGGTCCGAGGTGGGCCCAAGATCCTGCGTCTGTAACAAGTGGGCTGCCACCCCTGCTGATGGGACCACCCTTTGAGCATGGCAGTGGCCAGCCTTTGGATCTTCAAGGAAGACAGGGGCTGTTTTTGGTTTGGACCAAAAGGCTGGACCCTGGGTTCTTGCTGGGGTAGGGGAAGCCTGCTCTTGACAGAGAGGGACACGCGGCCTGCTGCAACCCTCCTGAAGCCCAGAGATACTGGCCCCGTTCGAACTGGCCACGGCCATGGTGGTGGCCAGGGACTTACCGTCCAGTGTCTCCACCGAGAGCTGCAGGCCCAGGTTGTGCCGCGGGTTGACTACCCAGTGGTTGCTGGTAGCGGTGATGTCAAAGACCAGCCAGCCCTCCTCCGAGGCCCAGAGCGTGCGACTGTCAAGCAGGAAGAGGTCCGACTCCCTGTGAGAGAAGACATAGGCGCCGGTCAGCTGGGGCACAGCTCAGCCACCCCAACAGCTGGAGAAGTCCCGTGGGGTGGGGAGGCAGGAGGAAGCCCAACCATCCTTCTCAAGTGGGTTCACAGGACTGAGAATCTCAGTAGCCATGATGGGAGGGGGCACACACCTTGGAAGGCAGGAGTTCATGGCCTCTATGTTGCTGGAGGTGCCCCGGGAGCAGAAGGGGACAGCGATGGATTTCACCGCGTGCCAGGCGTGACCTTGTTCAGTGTTCACACCCCGAAGTTGTGCAGCTGTGTCCCCATTCAATGCCTGGTAATTCTGTGACTTGCCCAAGGCCATCCAGCCAGGACGCTGCCGGGCTGGGGTTTGAGCGTTTCATCCTTCCAAAAACTCAGGCTGGAGTTTAAGCCGCGACGCAGCGGTATTAAGAGGCAATCAGGCCACGAGGGCTCTGCCCTTATCAGTGGATCAGCACCTTTCTAACAGGGCTTGGGTCCTTGTGACAGTCTACCTTCCACCACATGAGGACACGGCGGTGAGGTCCCTCTCAAAGTACAGAGCTGCCTTCACCGCCCCGACCCTGTGGGCATCTGGCATCTTCCAGCCCCTAGAACTGTGAGATATAAATCTCTGTCATTGATGGATGACCCCATCTCAGGCGTTCCTTAGAGCAACACGAATAGAGCAGGGCGATTATGTAAAGCTAGTGCTACATGACTTCTTTCTTTAAAAAAAAAAAAGTATATTTACTTTTTAATTCATGGTAAGAGTGCATGCATGTGAAAGAGAGAGAGGCTACCTCTCAGAGCCTGGTCATTGCATGTTCCAGCCCTCCAGCTTGTTAGGGACTTGGATGTGTGCCAACATACCCAGCCTATTTTAGGTGGACTGGGCCGGGGATCTGAACCCGTGGCCACTGTGTGACTTTCAGCACGGCAGTCCCATGCTACCTAGAATGAGCTGACATCTATGACTTCTGGGTTTTCTTGTTTGTTTTTTTCACCAGAGGGTATGTGCACTTGCAGAAAGACACACACTGAGAGACAGAGAGCCCCCGCGAGAGATGGTCATGGGTCCTGGGCGCACACATGCACCCGACATGCTTTTTCAGGCTAGGGCCTCGAACCGCATGGTCAGCTATATGGAATCCAGCTGCTTTAACCACCACGCCACTGACTGGTTGTGACTTCTGGTCTTACTGCCCATAAAACCTAGCCACAATGCAGGACAACACACCACCGCCTCGCCAGCCAAACCAAAGTCCCTTCAGGCCCGTAAGAAACTCATTCCTCTGCCTAACACGGAGATTACAGAAATAAGTCCTTTTAGAGTCCCCAAAGGATTCTGAAGACCCTAAGTTTGACTTTCACGTCCAAACTGAATTAAAGTAATGAGACGGCGTCTCAGGGCCCATTTCCTCCTAGTTCTTCCCAGGGCTGTTCGGGGTGGCTCCAGCTCTGGCTTGGGGAAGTCCACTCGCATGTCAGAGTGAAGCACACTCTTCCTGCCGCCCTGGTTCCCATTCGCGGTGACGACTTTCCTGGCCTGGAAAGCTACCAGGATTGTCAGGGAACCAGTTCACTGTCCTCAAGAATCAGCAGATGAGAGGAGACACCACTCCAAATCCAAACAATTTCTCCCGGTCGGGCTCTCGGAGCCCCTGTGTGAACACCCACACCACAGCATGGAAGGCACAAACCTGGGTGGTGATTTTGCTGGAAAACTGTTATTTGCAGGGAAATATAACCAGCTATTTGGGCAGGCCCTGACGGACAGTAAAACAATGAATGGTAACCAAGGGAACAGATGGAGCTTCAAACAGCACACTGCCTAACCATACCCAGCATGCTTACGGGCAGGACACCCAGGGCCAGAGCTGCAGGCCAGCACTGACTCATCTGTGACTCAGCGGGAATGCAGTGCCTCCCCTCCCCCAGGCCACAGCCAGCTGTCGGTCCTGGGTGCTAGGGTGAGTCCGGCCCTCAGCTGCAGGCACTGCGGGAGGGGAGCCTTGCTGAGGGGGTGCAGTGTGAGGTGTTAACCTGGCTTTGCTTCTAAACTGACAGCGCAGGCTCAGGTTGGATTCCATGAGAAAGGCAAGGGACCTGGTTGTGGCAGCATGTGCCCGACACTGCTGTTTATGGGTTAAGGCCACATGGGAGGCCGGGGTTCAATTCCTGGCCCACCAAAAGGGCTGGGTGTGATAGAGCTTGCCTGTAATCCCAGCCACTTCGGAAACTGAGGCAGAAGGATCATGACCCATGTGTGTGCACACGTACACACACACACACACACACACACAATGGCTCCCTCAAGCATCTAAGGACACGGGTCCTTACAAGCAGGACAGCACCCATGAGCCTCTGTGACATTTTTATTGGCCATGAACACAATGGCCTCCTGACCCAGCCCAGGTAGGAAGGCTCAGGGCTCAGGGCCCCAGCAAACTCCACGCACTCTCCCCTTTGCCGCTGCTGAAAACCCAGGTGCTTTCCAGGCACCCGATCTCCGAGTCTCCCCCAGCCCTGTCATGGTAAGCTATGGCTCCACTTCACAGATAAGGGGGTGAGGGCCAGAGGGGCGAGGCCAGTTATCCATAAGAGCAGACCTCGGATGTGGTGAGAGCAAGGCACGGCTCAGGAAACTGGGCTGAGGAATTTGAGTATCCAAGTCCTGTCACCTCATTAAACCAGTCTCACTGGGGGACAAGACAGACACAGGAAGGTGTTGAACCCTGTGGGAGGCGTGTTCTCACCATGACACTGCGTGGAGCAGAGGAAGTCCCGGAGGGCGATGAGAACCGGAGAGCAGGGGATGAGAAACCAGAGAGGTCAAGCCAGCCAACTTCTCTTTTAACTTCTATTTTATTGATTGATTTTCAAATACCATAGGGCATGCACATTCCCCAGAGACAGACGGCACCACCCCCAACTGGGCATGGTCACTCCGCCATCCCCACTCCCCTATTTCTACACCCTGGAGGGATACGGGCACGCACACACCCTTGACGGGGCCAAGATTCCAAGTGCGGTCGACCACGTGGGATCCGGCTCCTTAACCACTAAGTAACAGGCTGGCCGACCCGAACCAGCTCATCTCTGAATCTCGGTTTTCTCTTCCGTAAAACGGGGATAATGGCATCTTCTTCAACGACAGGGCAGAGTCAAGTCAGGACTGGTCTAGCAACAAACTCCCAGAGCTCCTGCAGAGTTTGGTTACCACAGGGTCAATTTGGTGTCTATTGCCTGCTCAACGGTAGGACATTTGAGGAGAAGGGTTTATGTGTCTTGGCCCAGAAGTGACGGGGCTCGCTGGGATTTCTCCAGTCCAGAGACTACATATGTATTCAGATGTTCACCTCTGACTCTGGAATCATCGGACGCGCGTGTTTGAGTCGGGCTGTATCTTCTGCCATTGTGGTGCCAACGGGCCCTCCCGTCTCCCTACCCACAGGCTGCTCCCCCATAATGCTGGGGACTCTGTTCCTCATCTCTGAAGTCCAGACGGATCGTGTGCCTGCTGTGACCAGCTGAATCCAGTGGAAGGTGGCCTTTCCAGGTCCAGAGCTAGGACTGCAGACCTGGCTGCTTCGGTTTTTGTTCTCTTGGAAGCTAGCCACTGAATCAAGAAACCTGACTATTCTGCTGAGACAGAGATCACATGGAGGGGAGGGAGACAGAATATGGAGGCTGAGGTTTTGTGAAGGGAGGGAGAAAGGGAAAGCAAACCAGCTCCCAGGTGAGGCACCATCTGGGCTTTCCAGTCCCAGCCACGCCTCTAGCTTCTTCATCAGTGACCTCAGCAGACTGTAGAGGAGAAGAACCACCCTGCTAAGCCCTGCCCAGATTCCTGAGCAATAAAATGATTGTTATTTTAAACCACTACACGTGGGTGGTTAGTTTCAGAGACAGACAACCCAAACAACAGTCACACTGTTTCAACGCAGACTTACCACGACTGCAGAAACGCAACCAGACGCCCACACAACGTCCATACACCGACATTCGCAGCAGCAGCATTCGCAATAGCCAGAAAGTACGAACTGCCCCGTGTCCACCGACGGACGAATGAATGAACAGAATATGATAAATCCACACAAGGGAGCATTGTTTGGCGATAAAAAGGAAGGGAGTGCTGATACACACAACAGGGAAGTGAACTCAGTAAAACAGGCCAGGCACAGAAGACCACACGGTGTGAAAGGTCCAGAGATAGCAGCTTCATAGAGACAGCAAATACTGCATGACTGTCAACAGCTAGGGAGTAGGGGGAAAGGGGCTGACTGCTACAGGGTATGGCATTTCCTTTGAGGAGATGAAAACGTCCTGACGTTAGGTGGTAGTGTTAGTTGCACAGCTCGGAATGTGCTAAAAGCTGCAGGATTGTACACTTTAAATGGGTGAATAGTCTGGTATCTGAATTGTACTTAAAGAAGCCAGGGCCGGCCCCAAAACTCAGCAGTTAAGTGCTGTGCACAGGAAGCCAGATCCCACATGGCCAGCTTCGGTTCAAATCCTGGTCCTAGCAGTTTGAAAAACACACTGGGTATGGGTGCATGCCTGCCGGCGATCCTGACTGGAAGGAGAAACAGAGGAGAAGGGCGTGACCAGGTGGCAAGGCTCCACTGAGGGCTGCTTGCTCGCTCTCTTTCTCTCACTCGCTCTCTTTCTCTCGCTCGCTCTCTTTCTCTCGCTCGCGCTCTCTCTCTCTCGCTCGCTCTCTCTCTCTCGCTCTCTGGCAAGCACACATATCCTCTGGCAATCAACCAATCAAGCTACATTTCTTAACTGGATAAGCTCCAAATACAGAGCATGATGCCAGCAGGCAGAGGATGTTCGAAGGCTCACCTGCCCTCCCACACATGTCCCTGGAGTCTCAGCAGCAGCGACTTGGAGGGACGTCACCCCTTCAGTCTGACAGCTGCACAGCAACGTCAACTCACTGCAGCAAGCAGCCCCTAGTTCGCCGAAGCTGGGTCAGTATGGAGTGGGGGGGCAG